ACCCAAAAAAGGTCAAACAGGCTAGTAAGTTGTACCCTGCAGGCACGGTGACCAGGTGACTGGCGTACGCAGGAGCACGTGACCGCTTGTTCAACCATGTTCGATTGGGAATAAAGGAGGAACGCTGCATCGCAGCCTTTTCGGACCAAAACCAATCGAGTCAGTGTCCAAAAGACTACAACATATGGGCCAATCGCGGTCATCCGTGCTTTTATAAGAACGAAACGGCGCTTTTAGTGACATTTTGCATACAAATCCCCATCTAGTAGGGCGCAGTCACCCAGTTTCGGTGGAAGTGCGCGAGTTCGATTGGGATTCAAGTAGGAAGGGAGCGTCTCAGCTTCCTCGGACCACGACCATTCGACTCAGCACCCCGAAGACTACAACTGGTGAAATTTTAATTTTTGCCTTAACTTCCCCTTTAACTATCACTCAGGCTAGGATTTCACCAGGGCTTTTACCATTGTTTACGACTGCCTGGATTTCACCAAGCACAGCCATACGCGGTCACTCGATACCTGTGCATACAGTATACTGTTGCACATAAAGAACGGCCTAGGCTACCAATAGTGGCAATACCATGGCATGGGCTGCGAGGCTGACCCACCTTCTGCACCCGACAGTACAGTCGACAAGTCATATTATTGTTGTCGACTTTTGAAGCTGGCAGGAAAAAGCAAGATGTCTGATTGCATCGGAGACACAGTGACAGTGACGCTATGATCCGGCCTCCAACCGTGTGATTAGCCAGCCCGCTGCCACACGCAACACGCACACCAGTCTCAGATAGATCCTTTTATCAAGGTGCAACTGCCTGGGCCATGGGCGGGTACAGTCGACTTTGATAGCCTGGGGGCAATATTTTATCTTCCAAGGGCCTCAGCTCGTGCAGCCATGGCCTCACGCCCTCAGGCTCAGATACTCCCTCACAGGCTCACTTCTCAGTCTCTACCTACAAGCCTACAAAGGTACAATGACTGTGGACATGTCAAAAATACTTGCACCTCTTCTCGACTATCTCCGGATAACGCATACTACACACGTAGATCTACGTACATATTGTCAGAATGACAGCATGCTAGCATGAAACAAGGTGGAGGACACTGTGTTGGGAAACGTGAACTATAACAAGGTTTATCTAAAATACTAGTTTTGAACTAGTATTGGGTTGTATAATACGTACATGTAGCCCTAGCTAGCGCACGCGCTACGCAGTCGTAAGAACCGTACACAACATAACAGTGAACTACATGTACATGTACGTTACTTTCAGTATTCAGTGTATGTTTTGTTCATAAAAGCGGCTGCAGAGACTTTCAGTATAACGTACCGCCAAAGGACATAAACTACATTGTATGTACCTTTAGTATGTCCAACGTCGATGGACTGGCACAAACAGACAGGAACCTCAAAATGCTCTATTCAGGATACAGTCAGTACAGCTGTATACTGACTTTCTCAAAGTAAAATAATGTAGAACTACATATAACTAATACTTAGTTTCACATTTTTGCCTTTTGGTACCTGTAATACAGTAGTAGCTTGGTGGACAGATCGAGCAGTCAATAGTGTACTCCAGTAACCCTCCGGCTCTGCTCATCAAATAATATAATCTTTATTTCATTGTCAGGGTCAGTGTTGTAGGTCCTTCCTTCACATGTCACCACATGCAGCCCGAGGCGGCCACGCGCTGTCATCCACTAGCCCCGGGATTGTGTGAAATGAACCTGGACCGGCGGCAACTCTTCGGCATCTATCGGATTTACTCTGCGGCTCCAGCAAGTAAAAACGCGATTTGATCTCTATTGTGCCGACAGGCAGTGTATACACAATGTACAATGACAATCACACATGTACATATTGCTCCAAGCATCAGCCAACACGGCAACAGTCAAGGCGCGAACACCTTCCTTATCTACCGCACGGCCATTGCTCAGCTCAAAGGACAGAACTGGCAGCCACATAACAGTTTTGTTTTGGAGCTTTGCTCTCACGACTTGTCATGCTTGTCAGTCACAGATAGTTCTAGTAGGACGTGTAAGGAAAGCATCCATCGAAGCAGCCAACAACAAACCAACATCCATTGCCATGGAGGTCAGGCTTTGTGTATGCATGTGATCGGTGTCAGAGATCCTTTGATTGAGCTGCTGTGCACTACGTAGATCTACTACAGTACTACATCAGTACATGTACAGTCTAGACAGACTAGTACTCGTAGTACAGTGTGCAGTGACGGAAGAAGACCACGAGCAGCGTCGTCATTTTTATCCCGAAACAAAAGTGCCGGTCAGCTGATCAGCGGAACGCAAAGCCACTGCAGTTACAAAATGAACTGTCTGTTCATGTGTACCGAGGACCGAAGACAAGACAGTGATACGGACACTGAGCACAGAACAACACATCAAGTGGACGTGAGTTCGCTGCTCCGTTGTATCTCGGTTCCATATCCATAGACCTAAAAAAGAAAAGAAGAGACGAGTAGATCTACCCAGCTATCAAGTATCAGGATAATGTTAGTGTTCTATGGTATACAATACAAACTATGTACAACTCAAGTAACTTCTAAGTCTTGTACCTGAGGCTGAGGCTGGATATGATTATGGAGTCTCATAATAGCACTGCTGAGAGTTAGACTTAGAGCGACACCATGGACACTTAGCAGTAGTATCGATCGTGGAGGCGCGGCTGCGGGTAACAGAGTAACAGACTCTGTCCGTGCTTCGACAAGACACTAGCCAAAGTAACAGTTGTTGGCATCCTTGCAGCCTTGCTCTGTCCTTGACTGATACTGCTGTCATCAGAACAGTGTAGCTCTTCAGCTTTCATGCTAGGACGCTTTCGTTTGTCGGCTAGTCACACTGCCGTGACGGGTCCTTTTGGAGCAATTGCATGCGTGGTCGACAGTCACTCAGCATTCTCGCCGACGTTAGCTACAAATGCGAGCGCGTTGGTGTTGTTACGATGCGGTCCCACAACTTTCTTCAACTGCCCGCTCAAGCACCCATCCACTGGGCCAGCCATCCAGCTGAGGTAGCCAGCCACCAAGAGATGCAATGTCAGTGACACTCACAGTGTTTTGATGCCGGAATCCACTTGCATGCTTTGTTTTACCTCACTCTGAGAGTGTCCTCAGTTCGATATGACTGATCACAAAGTACTTGCTGAGAGGCACGTATATGTACGTGTGTAAAAGTAGTCACGAGTCTCTATCGGTGTACGAATGGTGTAGACAGTGTTACTAGTTCTCGTGCTGGCATAAGAACACAAGTAAAGTTAGTTGTCATAACCCCCGCAATGGACTGCAACATCCGTAAAGTAAGCCATTCCTAGCGGCGCCCGGCCTCAGCTGCTCTAACGTTACTTGCACAGCTACTGGCAGCGTTGCGGCTCAATCGGGTGGCGCTGTTGGGATGAGTGAGGGGCAATCGTTGTGGAAATCGTCACATCGGGACTTGAGGAGTTGAGGCCTCGCCAGGTTCACCCTCACTCCCTTCTTTCTACGAGAAGTCTGCGTTGCATTGGTTGTGGTCTGGACCGCTGGCGGCGGCACTGCACAGCCACGTGTACAATTATTATACATGTAGCTGTCACATTAGTACTCAATCTTCCCATTCTGGCTCCGGGAATCCCCCCAACCTGGCTAGACCACCACCCATGCCACTACCATCACCTGATCACCAGGCTGACATGACCGCGCGCGGGCACTGGCACTCAGAGTCATACTGCACTTGCACTGACTGTGTAGACTGTAGTCCGGTGCACGTCGCCGGTGCGCCGTTTATCCGCGATCCAGTGCGGCAGTGGTCCATCACTAGTATTAGTAATAGTAGTGTAGTCTTTTGTCAGATTATAACTACTAAAGTATAAGAATCATCTCTGTCAAACAGACTAACTGCATGTGTATGGTACAACATCCGCACCCATGGCCATGTCCACAACTCATGAGGTCGAGGCAACAAGCGTGGTACATGTACTCTGTACACTGATATTTTACTGTATTTTGTGCATGATCCCGGTGATCGTGCCGGCCGGCAGAACTACCACGAGCACTGCATTATCACTCCGTCTCCTACTCCGCCAGGCCAGGCCAGGGCCTCATAAACATTTTTTACTACTCCCGCATCACGTGCATGCACTCCGCTAGATACAATGCAGTGGGCATGGTATTACGGAGGTTCGGACTCAAAAAGAAGCAGTGAAGTGAAGGGCTTTGGCCAGTTTGGGGTTCACTCTGTCACAGGCAGAACCCAGTCACCCGTCATAATCATAATTATGCATAGGCCTCTCTCATGTCATGAGCTCAGTCTCCGTGTGTCTGACATGCATGCTTCAGCAAACAAAACTACTTCAAAAGACAGTGGAAACACTTGTGACTAGACTGCACTGTTATGTGAGTGTGAGGTCACTCGCATGATGAGGAGTACAATGAGTGACTGGGCGTCTGGTGGTAGCTACCACAAGAGTCCGGGCTCAGTCGACAGTCGACCTATCCCAGATTCGGCGTCAGTCAGTAGTCACAAGCGTTCATTCACTACGCTAGGTCTCATCACTCTGTACAGTAGGTGCAACTAGTATTACTTCACTGCGTGGCAGTAGCAGTACTAGTACTAGCACTGGTCTCGAGTTGAGAGAAACTAAACTGTCACAAAAGTGTCGGCATGGGACGCCGTACAAAGCCCGTCCAGGGTGACTCCTTCACCACGCACTGACTGCGCGTGTGCTCTGAGTCTGAGTCCCGGCCGCGCGCAGCATCTCTTCGCTGGTAAACATGTTCATGTATGGCAGCGGTAGATCATGCATTGAGATCAGCTGGCAAGTACTAAGTGGCAGCTCAGCGAGCACAGCACCAGCTCTCAGCTCTGGCACTGGCCGAGTCTGAACGAATGATGCATGGCGCGAGTGGATCTACGACCTGCCCGATTCTTTGCACACATTATGCGCTTGCTACACGGCCATTGCGTTGCGAAGAGTCCACCTTGGTCTACAGTGTAGTTGAGGCTCGGGGCGGCCGTCACGAAACGTATATCTGACACGATAGGGTCGAATCCTGACAGTAGTCGCTCGACGCCGCTTCACTGCAAGCGCTCAATGTTCAAACGTTGCTCCTACCACTACCTCTGAGACTTCATTCATATTTCATTCATTCATTCGTTGTCCAGCGCATTGCTAGTGCAATTCCTGACCTGGTTTCTTGCTCTTTCACCTCCAGTAGTTCAGGTGTTTTTGAGTTAGTAATACTCGTGACCGTGCGACAGCCAAGCCAAGGGCTCCGTTCATATCCTTTCTGTTTCCAGTGGATGATCAATTTTAGGATTTAGTGTTTCACCTTTAGGAGACAATATGTCTCGTTTTGTCGCTCGTTCAACAAATGGTGTACCGTCCTCGTCATCCTCAACGACGGCCACAAATGCTTCGGAAGTAGCTCAACTCAACGCTAGTATTACTTCCCCACCGGGCTGCCGATTCAGTTTCTTCAAGCAGCTATGGAGGAAGCCGAAGGTAGGAACGTAACCATGTGTCCTCTATGTATGTGCGCCTGTGGCTGTGTGCATGCGCCCGATGGCTGTTCAGAAGGCAGTTATTTGCGTCGTGCGCGTGTATGTGCTTATGTGTTGGTAGCTGGTGTTCGAGGCAGTAGGACTACGTCTACGGTCTGGAAGTGTTGAGTTGTGCTTCAGGCTGTATCGCAAGCGAAAGGTTCACTAGCTACGAGGAGTACGAGTGTGACAGGAGTATAGTTCGCGACATTCTGATTGCCCTTGTTCTCGTCGTGTGCGGAGTCGACGACGTCTACTACAAGCGCTTGTTCCTTTTCCTTTCACTTCTGAATGGAAATACTGAGTCTGTGGATAGAAAGTGACGGGTGGGCAGAGTAACATTAGTTTCGTCGATATGTACGTAGAAATGTCGTCTGCTTTGTTGACGCACATCGTCATCACCACAGACATACCGTCGATCGCCGCGTGGCAGTAGATTGTGAAGTGAAGAATAGCTTTCGCTTAGAATAAAGGTGTTATTCTTGTGAATACAGGCCTCATGGTCGTGGCTCTGTGAAACGCGACTGTTCCGTAAGCTGTGACATCCGTGAAGCTTGACTTCCTGAAAAACCTCCACCGCGTGCCGATTCGTTGCCAGTTTGAGCTAGCTCGTCACCCTTTTTCGGCGTTGGCTTTGTGTACAGTAGTTCGAGTGTTGCACAGTAGTCTCAGAGCGGCCGAGTGAGTTTCCTATTCTCTCCATCTCTGTGATACAGGCCAGTGGTGCGTGGAACCGCACAGGTAGACGCATCACCCTGGAGCGACATGAGCGTAGAGACGACGAGGAATAGAACTAATTCAAACTGTGTGTGTGTTTATCGCACAAACAAGTATTGCTGCGTCGCACGTGTGCCAGCAAACATCTGGAACTTACTTACTTGGTTTTTGTGGTACATTGGCGCTTCTGAGGAAACATCTTCTCAGCGCAGACTTCTGCAGCAGGCGACGAGGGCACGGGCGGGTTTGACAGATCATGATCGGGTTTAGCAAAGCGCTATGATCGTCTGTGTGCGTGTATGTGTGGTGTGTGAATGGAGTACAAAGAAGGGAGAGGTTTGCCACATCATCCGCACATGCTATTAGCTAGTGCGGATGGCTGTGTAGCGCAATGCAGACAAGTCTTGCGGATGAATGGTGCGTGCGACAGACTCACCGTGCACGCACCCTCAACCACTTCGACTGCTTACTTTGCTCAAAGAAGCGTTACACTTCGAGGAGATTTGCAACAGGACAAATGTTATGCCATTTCGTTGGATGGCCAGTCAAGCATGGTCGTTTGCTTGGTGTCAGCTTTCGTCACTTGAACAGTTTCTCTTTTCCGTGTGCACTTTTGGTACCCAATGTGTTCGCAGAAAACAGACAACCATCTCCTGGCAAACTTCTACCGCGAAGACTCCAAGCTACAGCAAACTGTGATGCGCCTTCTGGTTATACCCACCGATCAGCAAACTGGCGAAGAAGCCAAAACACTCTCCCAGCGCATGAGGCGCCTGCAAGGAGTTGTCATGAACCTCATCATGGATGTGGTGCGCGAAGCCTTGCCGGACACCTACAATCGTCGCGATTTTAGAGCCAAGTACACCGAAGAAGTAGTGACGGACAATATCAATGGTGCACTTTGGCACGCCGCTGAGGTAAGACCGAGTGCCTTGTGTAGTTGTGTAGTTGTGACATTGAAACTGGATTTGTGTACACAGTACCAAGCATGCACTAGTAGTTGGTATCATCTATGCGTGTAAGCTGTAAGCAGTGGCCCCTGCTGTGTTTGTTGCGTGTTGGCGCTATGGAAAGACTGACTGATGTGTGCATTGACGATTTGTCATGTGTGTGTGTGTGTGGGGGGGGGGGGGGGGGGGGGGTGTTGTGTGTGTGTGTGTTGTGTGTGTGTTGTGTGGTGGCTGTGTGTGTGGTGTGTGTTACCATCTGAGCATTGGTAGTGGTAGTGAAACCATTGTGCGCAGATTGCCCCTTGCTATATTGCCCATTTGGTATCCAAACGTGTTTCTCTGTTGGCATCCGGTGATGTTGTATTTATGGAGTAGGAAGTAATAACGTTAGTTGAGCAAGGATGGTCACATTCACAGAGCTCTCTCCAGCAGCCCATCACACTTGCTTTGTGCCATGCGTAACATTTGTAACACTATGTGACGCAAAACTGCTCTCTTTGTTGGCAAGTGCACTGCCCTGGAGAGCCCTGCTGAGCTGGGCATGCATAATGCATACTGATAGACAGCACCAGTAGCATGGATATGGGCACTGTGGTGGACGAGGCACTTGGTGTGTGCTTGGAAGTTTTAGTGGCAAGCACTAGACTGAAGGAAGCACACACAATGAGCAGTGAAGATGATTGGTACAAAAATGAGTTAGTTCTAGTCATTCCTGGGATGGCACTGTATACATGAACTACTTATTAGACTGTCTGAGACTGTATCACGTCAGTGAATGACCTAGAGTGCATTAACAGTTTTGTACATGTCTGTGTTACAACTGCTAGGACGTAGTAGCAACTTACTTTCGGTGCAGTTGTACCTGAGCGGGATGTGCATGATTACAGCCGAGCACAGTGCGAGATAACAATCTAATATCAAACACTTCCTGTCAATCCTGAACACTACACATACACATACATGTACATACCTGCAGTACATGTATGTCCCTGACTCATCGATCTCTTGTTCACACAGTGCCATACATGTACACTGGGCAAGTGTTACTACCACTAGTCCAACTGCACCCATTCACGCGCAGCTAATGGCTTGATGGCCCTGCTCACCCTCGGCCAATGGCTTGATGGCCCTGCTCATGTGGCGTAAAGAGCAACACTGCCCAATCGATCCAGTTCAGGAAGTTTGTTCTGGAGTGGAGTGCTTTCAGTTTAGTTTCCAATAGCGGGTGCTGTTCCTGTGTAGAGGCACGTGCATGTGATTGTGTAGGGCAGCATGTGTCACTTAGGAAATGCTCAATAACTCTCATATCCTGTGCTCATCATCAGGTACCGCCGCAGGCTACCAGCTTTCATTATGCACTCAATATACTGTCCGTAGACAGCTCCGCAGGGGCAGGGGAAAAAGAATAATTCGAAATATACCAACCAGCCATTCTCTTATCTGAGCTGAAACGTCATCAAAGGTTCGCAAGGCCTTGGCTTGACACTGCCTGTTTTGTCTCCTATTTTCGTTTTTCTTCCTGCAGTGTTTGTCGTTCGGAGTTGAAATTGCTTACCACCCATCAGAATCTCTGGAGCTGCAGCCCCTAGCCGCACAGATGTCCAGTCTGATTGATTCTCTGCGCACCACTCTCCGCACTCACTGCCACATCAAGGAGTTGTCCCAGCTACCAGCCAATGTGCGAGACCTGCTCCAACTTTTCGATGTCAAATGGGCCGAGTTTGAGTGGAAGTAAGTAGCTTTAGCAAATTTAATTGCCTCATGACGGATAATAATCCTGCAACCATGTATCCCTTCAAGACAAGCAGTTATGTTCTAATGGGTTATGTGTGCATGTTCGCATGATTGGAGCTACATGCACTTAGCTTGATTCAGCAGTGCACTTTCACAATGATAAGTGCACTGTGCTGTTGATATGATGTCATACGTCATGCCATTACTAGACATCATAACCGCCCGGCTTAGGGCTTCAGGGACCTCTGTCACAGTCTGTGTCGGCCGAGGCTTAGGGCTTCAGGGACCTCTGCGCGACAGTCCCGGTACAAGTGCATGATTATTCCACTTACATCCGTCCTTCACTGTTTACGCTGACAGCCCAGAGCCTAGGAACTGTTGGCATGCCAGCGAAAATAATTTCAAGAATCTCAACTATCTGTGCTGTGGTTTGTGTGTGCGTGCCATTGCAGCTATGCCTCCATGATGTGTCCCGTGCTGACCTTGGAGCAATATGACCAGCAGCAGGAGACGGTCGTTCTGATGTGCGAGGCGGCACAGCGAGCGCTGCGCAAGGGCTGGCTCAACGCCGAGATGTTTGAGTTCACGGACCCAGTGCTGATGTTCGCCATCCCTCGCCTGGCCATTGTCACTGGTCTCTCGCATAACACTGCTGGACCGCTGGACCTCAGCCGTGGCGTGGATGAGGTGCCACAATGTTTCCGAGTCTTCCTGAAAGTCCTCGTCAAAGTCAAGTAAGCAGAGCACATAGGTTCCCCCTCTCTTTCTGTTCCTTGTGACAATGTGTGATCCCATGCAATGTGTTTTGCATTTGGACTTATATCTTGCAAAAAAACTTGGGCTCACTTTGATAGTGTTCATGTAAACGTTTCAGCCATCTCAATCAATGTATTCGTTTCTGCCGTTTCCTTCTGTTGCTCAGGAATCTGCTTGAGATTCTGAAACCCGAGGAACTGGATCGCTTGGAGTCGGCCCTTTGCTCGTCTGAAGGCCTGTGCACCAGTGACCGCAGCCAAACTGGCCAGCTGAAGGCCGTGACGGTAGTTGTGAAACGCCGTCCGCGCTCCAAGCGTCTTGATGCTGTCAGCCAAGAGGATGAGGGCGCTGATGATAGCAAGCGTACCCTGTCACAGTCTAAGAGTGTTCCCGGCGCAGGCTGTATGTACACCAAGTCTGGGCGTAGACTGGAGAAATGGGAAGAGCCCAGTGCCCAGGAGCTACGTGCAGCATTTCCCAACACTGACGATCTGCTGCAGAGACTATTTGTAGCCATCTCGGGTATTGCTGATCAGATGCACAACAACTTTGCCGGTCAACTGCGCACTATCCTGCAGCGCGTCTTTGTCGTTTGCACACCTGACGAAGATGAAGAAGTGGAGATGCCTACTGAGCATCCGTCATCGCAGGAGAAGCCTGACGACGAGGAGGAAGACAATGAGTGTCTGGCGCCGTTGCAGGAGGCGAACAATGCGTCACCGGCGCGTGCCGTTATGCAGTCGCCGCTGCACGTGTCCCGAGTACAATCCCCCGTCAGCACTGAACACCGTGTTAGCCGCCGTGAGAGTGTCAGCAGTGCGGACAGTCCACGACACGCCGTTGCCGGCAGCCATCGACCGGTCTGGGTGCCGGACGACAACACGGTAGCATGCATGGGCTGCGAGCAGCCCTTCACGCTGGTGCGGCGCAAGCACCACTGCCGCTCCTGTGGGCACGTGTTCTGCAGCCGCTGCAGCGGCCACGCTATCCCGCTGCCGCACTTGCAGTACAACCGGCCGGTCCGGGTCTGCGATTCCTGTGTCAGCGGCCTGGCAGCAACGTCTCACCTTGAATGCTCCTGAGCACTGCACCACTATGAGTAACGTTAGTATGACTATGCCTAGCCAATGTTGAAATGCCTACCCAACGTTCAAATACTTTAGGTCAATTCACTATTTCTAGAAGTTTTCCAAGTGAGCTAGGTTAGGTTGCTCGTGTTCTTAGATTGCTTAGAGTGCATGCTTATGTTGTGTTGCGTTGAGTTCCGTCCTCATTCTTCATATTGATTTCTTCCTCCTAAACTATTTGATTGGGCCATCTAAAATATTACCATGCTGGTGTTCGTTTTCTGTTTTTTTTTGTTTTTTTGTTGATATTGTGTTGTCACGCTGCGCTGTCCACATTCCGAACCATGAGAAGAGAACCACAAAGTCCAGTTCTATGCTGCCGATATCCACATTAAATAAGTCTAATTATCCTTCCGCTCACAGAACTATTATTGAATATTCTATCACTCTTCTCGTTAGTGGAGATCACAAAATGCCCTTCTGTTCTATTTAGGAGTACGGTTCATCATCGGAATGGACAATCCGGCTTCCTATTTATCCCTTCATCTCATTCTGCTGCTAGCCAGGAAGGGTTGATTAGAGTGGAGTATGTAGCTGTTTTGAGTGCCGGCACCCATCTACATTCTCACTTTCAGATATCCACCCCTGACATCTGGCTATGATCTCTTACCATCTGACTGTTGCATTTTCTTTTCCTTTTTATCCAGAGTTTTTATACTCATTTTAATCAATAATCATGATATGTGTTGACAAATCCTGGCGGAGATTCTTCATTAATCTACTGAGAGAATGGCTTTTTACGATAGTGAGTGAGTTACTGGTATGCCCACATGGCAATGCCCATGTAGTTCTGCTTCAGCTTGGCACTGAATGCAGGGGTGAGGTAATTAAATGGATTCAATGAATTCAATAGTTCTAATAAAAGCTGCTGAAATAAAATGCTTTTGATGCCAATTCTAGCTTTTCCACATACTGTTTTTGGCAATAGTCGATGAAATGGGTATCATGAAGTGGTCAAGTATCTCATTACTCCATGATAGTGATGGGTATACTTGTGAAGTACATGACTATACTACAAATAGTACAATGCGACCTGAACTCACATGGACATGACTGTATTAGTACATATTTCCTGCTAAAACTATGCTGGACATCATTGCCACGGACTTGCTGAAGAGAATACAGCCTTGCATGTAGTGCACCTGCACAGACTGGGAGTAATGCTTGAATAATGTCCTGCATAATCATTGTAATCGCCAGTCTTTCACCCACACTCTCACCGTTATCTAATACATGCATCTGCACGGATGCCCATTCAGGCCATTGTATTCGGATAGGGATAGGAAATCAAGACTGATCACTGAGTTCAACGGTTTTGTCACAAGTTTGCCAAGTATGGGCACTGAGGTGCACACATCCACCACTGACAACCGGTTAACCACCGGTTATACCTTAGAGGCTGACGCTGTAGTGTCTTTATGAAGAAGGAAGTAGTCACCGGTACAGTGTCATGCCGCATACATACTACACACACTATTCTCAAGTCACTGTTATGTACAGTTGTGCACTCTTTTTACACAAAGCTTTGCCAGGTGCATGGACAGACTACACACTCCGTTTTGCTGTCAACGAAGTGTCCACATCATTTTGGAAAAGATCCAGGTGACACCGTGTGCGTGGTTCGTAACTTAGTATACATACATTTTACATGGCTTGCATTTGCCATGGAACGTCACGTTTATGATCTACATTCAATGTTTGTATTCATAGTCAAAGATTCCCGAGTCATCACTTCACCATTGTTCACTGGCTGAACACTAAAATTAATAGCAAAAATGCCAAGTACTGTACAATCATTACTGCGCAAATTCATGTACTTGAAGTAAGAAGAAGCTTCATTTCTTTGATGTTGGACTATCCGAATCTATTGATCCCTCCATTCACCATGTTTACAGACATCAAGAGTTTCAAGAGTGACGAATTCTCCTGCAAACCTGTACGTGGAATGCGTGGGTAGAACCTTTCCGACCCTTCATCACCAGCATGCTAGCAGCTGATATCACTTCATTCGCACTGGCCTGGGAGTGTCATTACGCAGCCCACGCCTTACTGCGCACAGACACTACCAAGCGTCCACACGTTAGTTAGTACTAGTAGTCGCAGTGTTCATCTGGCGTTCTGTCAAGTGTCATGTCGTCGGTGATACCCGCCATGACCCCGTCACTCAGTCTGTCAAGCCAAAGCTAAAGACAACTACACTGTATTATAAATGATGTCTACACATGATGTACTGCCAGTACTGGGAGAGCTAGAGAAGTCCTGACTTTCGGACATGTCATGACGCTACATGTACTGCTATCGTACTACAGACTCAGTACAGACAGTGACAGGTGCCACTAGATAGAGTAATGATTGGATGATAGCAAAGGATACAATAGGACATACCCATGAACTGCGCAATATATCGATCAAGAGGAAAATTACCTTCCTGGGAGTACTCTTGACATTATGTGCAGGTACATGTATGACTGTACATTGTTGTCTGCTCTTGATCAGTTGATGGTAGTAAGTAAAAAAGGTTACTAGTAGTTAGTACAATCATAACATTGAAGTAGCTCATATTAGTACTAGTACTAGCTGACTCCTGAGACCGTTATGCGGTACATGATGTACAGGAGTCAGGGGTCAGAATATTGTAGGAGGCCCTGGCTCTGCAGCCATGACATTGTATAGGCCACACCAAGGCAAGACTACACCTGGCTAGCCTACAGACTACATGCACTGCAGACGGGGCTATTTTAATTACTAGTAGCAGTAGTACACCTGACAGTGTATAAAGAGATACATTGTACAGGTATGTATAACTAAGTTACTTTCCCTGACAATAATCTGCACGGAAACAATGTTACATGTGCGTGCCAATTTTTAATTGATCATACCAAAGACTTGCACTCAATTCGTTTGCTACCATGGCATGAACATTGTAGCATTTGAATATTCGTAGTATTGACTATTGTTGCGTACACGGGGTCTGTGGAGACAGTTAGGGTGACCAGGGATTGGTAAATACCACTCCGGCATGATGGTAACACTGCTCCAGTACTGAGTCTGGCTGTTGCTGACTGCTGACTGTTGTGGTAACTATGCACTATGTCATGCAGACTTATCGCAGTACATGGACATGTACAGCTCGGGGATCAACGGCCCGGATTTGTACATCTCATTACATCTCAGATTCGCCACCTTTTCATTGGGCAGATATCTGCCCGTTTGGTTTGGGAATTAAAAAATAAACACGACAACAACAACAACAACAGATACAATGATTGGGCGAACTCACCCATTCCACAATACTCTGCAAATTTCCGAACCATTCCATTATATACAACAATGGTTCGGAAATTTGCAGAGTATTGTGGAATGGGTGAGTTCGCCCAATTGTATCTACTATGAAACTGCAGGAAGCCTCCAAACTTCTTTTCATTACACCTCATTATTATTATTATTATTATTATTATTATTTTCAGGCAGTTCACTTCCCCTACTGATCCTTTGTATTTGAAGTTCTCCCAATCCGTTCAAAAATTATTATTATTATTATTATGCTATGTACGCTCGTAGTATGTTATAGCCTTGGCTGTACGAATCCTACACTAGTCTGTGCTGTCTTGGAATTGCATAATTATGCAGGTGAATCGGGTCACAATCATGTGCATGTTTCTAAAAGGTACAAAAGTTACTACATCAGTACATGTACATGTACATGATACTGTACAAGACTCTATTACAACATTGTAGAAAGTGCTTGTTCAATTATACATGATTACAACTTAAGGTACATGACTGTACATGTACATGTATCCCAAGAAGAGTTACATTCAATGCTACCAAAGGCAAGTGACATGTACATGTACACGATTCCACTGAATAATTATTAATTCCATTACTGATTGCCGACTACATGTACAATGTATTACATTTTGTACCTACGGCATAACAATGATTGATGTTACTACTACTAGTACAATCATGTTCCATTTCGCACGCAATGACGATAATGCATGCAGCAGGTTCTTTGTCGGATATCGGCCGGATACGAAGAAGCGATCACCATGAACACTGCGCAGCGCAGGGATGATACTGAGTATTACACAGTGACATTATTGTAGTATACATGTATACATGTACCTACCCTGGAAACGTTTGATGGGCCCGCCGGCACCCCTGCCACATTGCTCATACCACTGTATTGTGTTGTGTGGTAGACTACTAGTATGCCGGCTGCCCGCGAACGCCCCACCAGAGGAACGACAGCCACTTTCAACACTTGAAAGAGCGAGTCTTTCTCATGAAAACATTATTCAGCGTTGAGCATGAAACAGCCGCTTCTTTCTTCGTAACGTTACGTTGGATTAGGCCAATGAAGGCAATCCCGGTACAAGAAAAAGAGTACATGTACTTTTAGAGTGCCTCTCGTGGAGGGTCCGTCTCACGGTCAAGCAATGAAGCATGAATATGCACACTAGCACTAGCCATGGAGATGACGACGATAATCGGTCTTACCACTACCGTAATTTTCGGAGTATAGTGCGCACCTTTGTAAACGCGCACCCCCAATCTTCATTGGGGGTGCGCACTTCAATCTTCATTGAAGTACATGCATTTCATATTCGGAGCATAGTGCGCACCTGCGATTTAGGGCCTAGAATAGCACATCTAAAATGAAAATACGGTACCTAGTACCTAGTCAGTCAATGGTGGCGTGACAACCCCTCCTTTCCCCCCCCCCCCCCCCCCCCCCCTCTGCCCGCCATACCGACCTACAAGATACACATGAACTGGTTGTGCTGTAGACGAGGGCCGCTAACTCTGTGATGTGCACACTAAGTTGACTAACTCTTTGTTCAGAACATTCTCTTCCAGGTCATTCAGACCATCAAAGCCACAGACCATCAAAGCCGAACGGGGATTCTTCGCAGAGAACGTTTTGTTGTTGAGTGTTGCCAAGCCAAGCATGCAAGGGCGAGACAGCATGCTAGCAAGACAGCTTGATCTTGACTGACAGTCTGTGATGCGAGTACAAGTACGTACCGGTGAAAACACGTGTGACATGGACGGTGCTACGACAACCTGCATTTCTATTCTTTCAGCCATCTTGCGAGATTGTGTATGTATCAGCAATTTCAGCATGACTGGAAAACTCTGAAAACGCGTACTTGAGAACCCGGATATCCGGATACAAGTTATGTACAGACAGTATCGACACACCACGAATAGACCTATACCGGTATCTACTTGCATACCCCCGGCACGGTGCTGCTTGAGAGGTTCTCCAGGACTCCACTACTACTAGCACTGTGACCAGGTGACTTGGTTTACTTACTTACAAGCAGGGAGTCGTAAAATACCGGTATTTTACGACTCCCTGCTTACAAGCGTATCGCACTATCGGGATCAGCGGCTACATGTAGTTGCTACGTCACACTCGCCGGTTAATACGTCATGACGATTGGTACGGTGTATACTTGCGATACTGGCCTTCATGAATAGATAACTATCCGTTCAGCATCAACTTCTGATGGTACCGTGGACTGGTGGTGGGTCTGGACGGGTCGGAGACTTGGGGAAAGTGCAACGTTGTGAAACCGGCCCAGAGTCGATCTCATTCACAGCAGGACCCACTTCTAGAAAAGTTGGCCTGGCTGAAAGCCCATAATGAATGCCTTGGTTCTAGAAGTTGAACTGGCTGAAAAGTGAAAACCCATGACAATTGAATGCCTAGCTTGGTTCTAGAAGTTGAACTGGCTGAAACCCCATAACAATTGAATGCCCTGGGAAGCCACACAAAAACAACAACACCTTCAGGGATGACTCTGGATGGAGTGTAAATACGGTTAGCATACTGAGTGATACTACATACATGTAGTAGCCTGAGATTCCAGTCACTGTGACCCCTGTGTCATGCAGCCAAGCAATCCAGCAAGTCGACAATGCTGCAATGCTGCAACTCAGCAATTGAATCAATGCTCGTGTTGTGCACGGATAGAAAACATACCCGGCATGGACCTGAGCCTGAATCATGTGATCATGCACTGCCCAAGTCACCCCAGAGAGGAGCGGGACTGGCTGCACAAGACAATGACCAAGCCATGTTTGGTACTGGTGCTAGAAAAGAAGAATACCAACAGTTACTATTTTAAACTAAACATAACAATGGTAGTGTAGGGCCGGGGTACTTCAAGTGATTCAACCAACTATGCGCCCATCCAGTGATTTCCTAGTGCATGACGTGCAGTGTCATTGTATATCATGGTACAATGTCATGTGGCGGTGAGCTGTATGTAAACTGTGATGCTGCAAATTGCCACTGGTATGTAAGTTACATGCACATACATGTAATGTCATGTAAAGAGTTGTAAAGGAGATATTGTACTGCTACTTGCACACCTACTATTTTAATAGACATTTAGCTAATTCAATACTGAGTCATCCAGTGGAGTACAGACACATGATTGTGCAGTTTTCAAACACAGGATAGAAGATCTAGAGCCTCTGAATGGTTGGGCTCAAGGTACCATACCATACCATACCATATAGTGCACATGTACATGTAAGTCGCTACACATGCACACGGCTATCATCGCGTAGGCATGATAGCCTGGGATTAGGATGAGTGTATCTCAGTGGGATAGGCATGCCAGTGCAGTAGCTGGTGAATACCATGGCTTCAACTTAAATTGTCTTTGGACTGCACTGGATCACTACTGGCAGAACATCAAGCACAGCATTGCATGGACTGAGAGAACCAACATGGTGCATTTATCGTCGACTGACACTGATGCAATCATCCCACTGTATGGCAGACGTTTCAGTAGTCACCGTCTAACTTTACTCATCATCGGTCAAGTCGGTAATGACAATCTCCTCTTTTTGCATGGGATAGACGAGTACTTCTTCAATGCCTTCCATGACAGTCTGTGCCGAGTAGCTACCTTCCACTTCAACTGCCTTCTCCAAGTAGTAATCCTTCAGGTCTTCAATCTTCGCCGCCTCCAATTGTAGCTTCTTTCGGATTGCATCCGCCTCATCATCAGGATGCTATTAGACAACACGATAGAAGAGAAGAGCACGGCATACCCTTACAAAAAATAACTTGCTACACTTCCGAGTCTTTGAGACACTCGTGTACAGCTGTAGAGAGCTGGCAAACTAGCACTGCTGTAAGCAAGCCGCAGGCTGTGTTGTTAGGACCCATCAGAACACCTGTACTCACTGGGAAATGCTTGGGCATCACTCAAATTAGGGTGTTACCAACATACTATGATTTCATCTGTAACTCAGAATCAGCTTCACGGACACAAGTGATGTTGCAGCTCAGACTTGAATGCAACGCCTGCTTCACCGATCATTGCTACAGTAGAGAAATATTATAGAACAGACTGTGTCTCTTAGAGTGCACACTCTCTCATGCTTTCACTTACTGTCACCAAGCGGGCCGTGATGTCTGCTTCGGGTACTTTGGTGATCAGGTGATAGCTGTGTGCATGGCCGCAGTAACCATTGTCAACAGAAGAAAATACATAACAGGAGATAATACACAGAACAACAAAGGCAATCAAGGCTAGCTAGTCGCTACTTTAAGTTTCATGGTTTCGCAATCAACAGGCAACATGAGGATGGTACTGACCATGCCGGTATATATGCCAGGGAGTAACAGGACAAAGGATACAAAGTTGACACCGATTGTCACAGCAAATATTTCCGTTCCGATCTAGAATCATAATCATGTACTTCAAAGTACTTTTCAGAGTATCTTTACCAGTAGCCGTAGCCCACGGGTATTAGTCAAAGGGGTAGCATGTCTATGGTATAAGAGCGACATGTAACAGTTAGCTGCATTTCGTAGAAATATACTCTACTGCATGTACCAGCTAGCCGATCATGACGTTAAGTGCTAACCCTACTCATGCCACTATTCTATACAGACATGCTCGACTGTCTAGGTACTGTGTGATAGGGTTTTCCAGCACCCTCTGTAGTTCCCTCGTCACTCGGATTTATGGACCATTGCAGCAGATGGGCACTCCAGTAGCTTTACTGAGGACCTGGGAACTTGACCTGCATGATAATGATATCCTTGGGGCAAGCAACAAAAGAGAATATATCTTGCTGTACCGTTCTCCTGTGACGGGGTCCACTCTGCGGTTTGATAGCCTCTCGATGACCTTCCCTTCCGGTATGTTCAGGTATACCACTCTACGCAAACAATATAAAATTCAGAATGCAGCTGGTCCACAGCAATATACGATTACCATATTTTCTGGAGCATAAGCCGCATCCAGATGTTTTATCACGAAATACAGACATCTGCCCCATTTATCAACATTGATTTGATCATCGTAGCCGTAGCCGCAGCGATTGTTTGGGGTGAATTACTGGGGTTTAAAGTGCGCCTTATACTCCAGAAAATATGGTATGCAGAGTCATCATTGATGCAGTTTACTCACACCTTGGAATGATGTCATTTTGGATCGAGTGTGACCACTATGATGTCAGTGCGTACATGATGTAGCATAGATAATAGTGTAAGCCTAAGTGATGACGTCACATCTTGCACATACACCAGCAGGCAGTGTTCTTACCTGTCCGGGACAAAGCCAGCACGTTCCATTGCGTGAGCTTGGCTGCCTGTTTTCGGGAAGCCGTGTAGAACCCAACCCCTTCCCTGGCAATCTTTCTGGCTGAGACGCCGTTTCAGGATGTTGAGCACCAGTTCATCTGGAACTGGAAGCAAAGCACCAAACATTACGCATACTGGACTGGTAAGAGGCCAAGTGTTCAACATCGTACAATCATGAGTACAATAGCTACCTATACACCTGGACTGAATCAGAAGCAACAACATGTTTCAGCAGCGTTCATCGGTGGAAAGTTAGAATCTTGTTGTGATCTCATGCTCAGTTGAATCAGAGTGCCTTCATTGCCCAATTATCATGAATAAGTGAGAGTTCGCAATCAACTGTCCTCTCTCCGGGGCATGGAATTTGAGGTTCATATGTAACATGCCTGAGTCATGGTGCACTGTGGTGTACTGGGGCAGGAAGTAGGTCAATACACTACCAACACTTTGAAAGCAAAGTCCAGCACAGATGCTAAAATAACAACAAAAGCAGGGATGGAAATCGACCAGACAATTGCACTAACAAACATTTAGACAGATATGACACTTTTTAGCCGTCCCACTCATGCACACATCATTAAACCAGCAGTTACTCACTGCTAATGCCCTTGTCAACATAGGTCTGCATGGCACGACCAGTCTGTGTCCCACCGGTAACCTCCTGCTTGATAAGCTGGTCACAAGACACTGTGTGTAAGGATAAACAGACAGTCACATACCATCATCAAATCACTGTCAGCACTCTTGCTACTTGAAAACACCTCTCATAAGTGGAAAGCAAACGCTCGCCACCACTTGCACCAGGCTACTGCATGGTGCTGTTTTTTGTGGTGCTGTTTTGTGGCAGAATGCGGCCTGGTATTGTTTATCCTTGCTGGATCCTCCCGTTGCCACCATCGAGAACACACTGAGTGACACTTGCGGACACCAGCACGACGGGTCCACCAGTCCACCAGTAACACTCCAAGACAGCAAGTAGTGCACCAAAAGTAGAACCTATTGTTATAGGTGGACTATATGAAGATGTGACAAGACTGCATTACGTGCGGCGGTCGTCCTAGCATCTTAAAGAGTGCGGATTACATGAAAATGTGATTCTGAAACCGAGTCTCGATAACCAGCCGGCATCGATGGCTGCATACTCTGGGCAGTTCTGTGATCTTGGTACCGCCTGTAGAATGTTCTCACTCTCGTTTCATAGCTCATGACCTTTTTGTGATAATGAAATTTGTGATTTTTACTGTGTTTTCACAAGATGGGGGAAGACTGATCAATCACACGATTCACACTTGCTCTGTAGTGATCGATCAAGGCATTGCAGTAGTAACCTGAGTGCCAAATGTAATAACCTGCTAAACAAACATGCCATGCTGATGCTGAAAACTGTGAAGACACTCACCGTTCACCATCAGGTACTTATCTGCCAGCAAGGCAGCCTGTGTACTCTTGCCAGCACCGTACGGGCCGAATATGACCAAGTGCGGCGTCCTGGGTGCATCGTTTCTCAGCCGCTTGCCCAGAATCGTCAGTACTGGGAAAAACAAGGACACAGTCCGGAATCATGTGTACAGGTACACAGCTATAATTATTTAGAACAGGAATGTACTACTCAATGCACTAGTAGTCGGAATCAGCACAAGATTGTCAAGCAAAAGAGAGAGAGAGAGAGAGAGAGAGACGGAGAGAGAGGGAGAGAGAGAGAGAGAGAGAGAGAGAGAGAGACGGAGAGAGACGGAGAGAGAGAGAGAGAGAGATAGAGAGATAGATAGATAGATAGATAGATAGAGAGAGAGAGAGAGAGAGAGAGAGAGAGAGAGAGAGAGAGAGAGAGAAAGAGAGAGAGGTAGGAAGTGGAAATGATCAGTACGGGAAAGATGGACGGACGGAGGAAGGAAGGAACTGCATGCATGTTGAGTTCACCAATGCCGATTGATAAACAGTAATGTGTAGGAACTAGGAACCCGGTGTCGCTTACCCTCAGCCCTGACATCAGTGTGCGGTTGATCAGCAGACACTTCGTAGGCACACTGCTGGTAAGACCTGTCCACAGCTGGTGAGTGCCTGTGAGGATGTGACATAGCCGCAAGCAGTGATACCCGCACCAGTACTATGATCACTATCAAGACCGACTGCGTTTGTGTGATATAACAAGAACAAAAATGTCTACATGCTCACAGAAGTAACACAGTGCTGGAGTATCTGTTTGTGCAGCCAAGTTCCAAGCATAATGGTGCATGGGCTGCAGATTCTTGGTAATGAGCAGCTGGTGATTATTCCAGAACACTTCCTCTTCTACCTTCCTCTCTTACGTCTGATGAGCAGAAGCCTAGGCTCACCGATGGCATCACTTACGTTTTATAGTGACCGAGACGCTGATGGAGGTTATCTAGCGTATAGCCGGATTCCTGCACCAGTCGCTTAGCCACCACTGCATCCTTCGGCATCATGAGCACTGAGTGATAAACATCTGAGAGGAAGGAAGATAAAGCAAATCATTGGAAGAGTCAATGAGCTGTGCACTGCGGCAGCTGTGCAGTTGGAAATTCTCCTTTTCAGTCAACAGTTGCTTCCCTCACCTGCCATTGTGGCACGGTTTCCCTAGAACTAGCAGAGCATCTGTAGTTGTCTAGAACTAGCAGAGCATCTGTAGTTGTCTAGAACTAGGTATGATTGTGACTGTTGCATGTACTTGTATGGCAAGAATATACTCACCACCTGTGCGGGGATCTATCAGCCTGCCGCCAAGTCGCTCTTCCAGCAGCTTGGCATCCATCGTGAGAGAGACTGTGAGGCACAACAAGAGAACAGCATGCCACAGGTAAAAGGTTGTGCAATGGCATGTTACATGAATCCGCAGGCAATGCAAATGCTCTTGTATTGGGTGACAGTCAAACTAATATCACCCGACCCCTATTACATGTACAACATCACATCAAAGCTCAGAGCTAGGAAGCAGGAACGCCACTGGCAGTATGCGATGACTGGCTGGATGGCTGAGCACTCACAATAATGTGTTGGAATCACACCCGTGCGTTGAAGAGCTGCTGCCTGTACACACGTGAAACACGAACATGACACGTGCACCGGCAGCTAAAATCAATAATCTAGATATAGGCAGGCATTTGGAGGTGCATGATACTTGATAATGATGACGGATAGGACTAACTTACACAGCACACCGTGCAGTGGACCAACCAGGCTACGTTACTCAGTGCCATCCCGGATGACTTGTATACTCATAGCACAATCACCCCTGCGACTGTTGAGCATTCTCACTATCGCAACAGTTAGAAGGTGAATCGTAATGAGCATAGCATGTTACCTAACTGTGGCTGAAATAATCTTATCCTACTGACTTGGTGTCCTCTTACCTCCGATCTTGTTTGTGGAAAGCCACTGATAATCCAGCCCTGGAGTACAGGAGAAGGAGCGAAAGGGTGCTTATAGCAGTTAAAAGAAAAGTGAGACTGATGCGGCAGTGCTTCCTTGGTATATTCACAAGCTCTTGTCTGACAGGGGTACTTGTACTTCTTGTACTTGCTTACCCATCTTATGTATATCGTGGAAAATTAAGGTTTGTTAGTTTGAAGTTTTATTTTACATCGCAAACAAAATGCAGCCGCTATTCAGGTTTGTTCAAGAGTGGATTGTAATTTGTCCCTGAAAGCCGCTGCGTGCATATATAATATCTTTAGGTGTAAGTCCAAAAGGATGTATAGGAAACGAAATCATGGGCGTCGGAAGTTATTTGCAGTCCATAGGTCCAGCTGCGCCCAAGGAGTATAGAAGAGGGAGGGGGCTGTGGGGACCTAAAGGGAGATTTTTTTGCAAAAAATCAAGTCAAATGGTACTTTTTTAGGGCATCTGCAACCCTTGCATTATAAATATTTAAAATATTTAGAAGAGCCCAAGAAATGTGGGTGACCGAGGATCAAAACAATCAGTCAGAATATTGGTCCGCCTCTGATGCCATACACGAGTGACACACCATCTGTATATGTGCGTGCCTACTCAAAGCATCGACCTACGCAATGGATATCACAGCAATACGCCATACGGCCTTTATCTGTTGCGACATGCATCTGACTGATAAGCTTGGCTACTCGGCTAAGACGCTACTCATAGTCTTGCTGCCGCTGCAACCCACCTTGCGCTGGCAATCCTCCTGATTTATCCGTGCTTGGAACATATCAGCCCATAGTTGAGGTGGAATACTCTGCAAGAGATGTCATACACAATAGTCCTCCGTTAAACACGTGCACCAGATAGTGATTGAGTTGGTTGCAGTAACGTTAGAATACGATATCCTGAATGTTACAAAGCACCAAAGCCCCATACAGGACCTTAGCGCAAGCAAGTTGGCACGTACAGTAGCATGCATGGCCCTAGTTCGGACGGTTCTTTTTCTCTTACCTTGCCTGTCTTCTCAAGTTTCTTTGCCTGCAGTACAAAGAGGCAAAATAAAGGAACTATCACCAGTAAACTACACGAATGCGTGATCACAGAAATCAAAGCTAGCTGAACGTACTCACACTTCTTAGGAAATGTACATGTACATGAACATGAAGTCCACCAGTACACTACATATGTATATTGTATTTGCCAATCGTTAGCATATTTCAACTCCTATGCATACACTGCATCTATACTATAGTGTACTATAGTACAGTTGCGCTCGGTGAAATCCGGCCCGAAGTGCAAAGCCGGCGCCGCGAAGCCAGCTCCCATTACATCACTGGCGATTTGTGGGTATGAACTCAAATGTACGCACCTCGTGTAAAAGTTCGGAGTGCACGTGTTGCATGCTAAAAACAGTTCAAAATTTCTTTCATTCACTTCATGAAGTACAGCTCAAGATCAAGAAGAGATAGAGAAGAAGGACATTGCCACTCCCAATGTGTGGGCTCTTCTCAAGAAGAGAATAATTCCACATCGCTGCGAGAATGCTGACCAGCTGGTGCAGGCACTGCACCTGGAGTGGGACTCGTTGGCTCCTGACACGGTTTCCCCATACGTGGAGTCAATGCCACGTCGTGTTGAAGCCCTAATCGAAGCAGACGGTGGCCACACAGAATATGGAAGCCCTGCTGCTCTGTGTATGAAATAAACTGCTTCGAAACGATCTCCGTCTTCTTTACTTGTGCTGAACTGAAATGAATGTTACACTTGTCTTTGTTTGGCGCGGTTTTTTACACTTTGGTGTAAGCATGCATGCGTATGAGTACAGCACAATCATGCACAGTTCATACGGCTCCCGTGCACACTACTGTCACTAGCACTTGTACAACTTTGAGGGCGTCAAGGGCCGCATCAGTACTGGGCGCCAGTTATGCACTTCGGGCCGGATTTCACCGAGCGCAACTGTATAATATGTGTCAGAATTAGCATGCACGTCTAGGTGCAGCATATTTATTCCTCATCCTCTCGCTGCCATGGAACTCTCGTCCCACTTCAGGAGCCTGGGAAGCCTGAAGGTCCACCATCTAACCTCGGGCCCATTGTGCTTCTCACCGCACTTAGGAAAGTGCTGTCCATCATTGCCCTAAATCGCATCAGACATGCAGTCAACACGTCCCTGTCTCCGAACCAGAGTGGCTTCCGCAGTGGTAGAAGTACAGCTAGGTCCTACAGATGGATCGCGGCACAGTGCCAACGAGGGAAGGAATCATTTGGCGTGCTCGGCATAGACATGTCGAAAGCGTTCGACACAATATCCAGGCACCGTTTGCTCACTATATTACCTGGCTTCCTTGAGAATGATGCGGTCACCATTACCTCCTACCTACTCAGGAACACGTCCCTTGAGGTCCGGTTACCTGGAGGGAAGAGTGAGCAGTTCCAGACCACCCGAGGCACACCACAGGGCGACTCACTATCACCTGTCCTATTCGTTATCTACCTGGAGGCAGCGCTTCGGGAGGTGAGACAGATTATCTGCGCAAGACCCGACCTAGATGTCAGGCTCGGCTTACCAACTGATACAGAGTACGCCGACGATGTCGACTTCCGATCGTCTGACTGCAAACGTATTCAAGAGCTCCTGCCCGACATTGCAAAGTGCCTCAAAGCCTGGGACCTCAACATCGATGAATCTAAAACAGAACCCACAAAGATCATACGGCTCAACGACAGAGTGTGCAAAGAATGGCGCCTCACTAGGAAGCCGGGCCCCCTCATTGGTGACCACGAGGATGCTGCATGGAGAATGCAACTCGCCACGACTGCTCTGCACCGGCTCTGGGCATTGTGGATACGTGGTTCGATTGTAAACGAATCGCTGAGAGTACAGCTATACAAGGCATTCGTCGCATAGAGTTGATGCGTTCCACAGACAACAACTGCGGAAAGTTATTGGCATGCGGTACCCAGCTAAGATCAAGAATACCACCCTGTACAAGAGGACAAACTCAACCATGGCCAGCAATCGAGGATATCTGAGTTGTAATTTTTGTACTCCTGCAAGGTGTGATTTTTGGCGTGCTGGGCCAAGCACAAGGAAGCCATCTGCAAAAAACTGCAGAAAATGGTTGTTGTTTGATCCTTTGGTGTAATCTTTGTTTCTAGTTGAAGCTAGTTGCTGTTTGGAGCAGAAACGCTGAAATTGACTATTTTCTGCATGTACTCATACACTCAGGCATGCAGTCTCACTTGTATTTTAGCTCTTTTTCTGGAATGGGTGCTGCTCTGCGACCCTTGGTGAACATTTCCTGTGCTCGTGGAGCAGCTGAAAAGGACCACTGGTATGTCTGGTTGCTGGTTTGAAAGTGGAGAGTCGACTTTTGTGCCTTGAAAAAGGAGTAGAGAGCGATAAAGGTACGTCTGTAGCTTTTTTTTGAGTGCTCCTCGCACATTTTTGATCGTGTTAGAAAATTCTCAGACCAAAGTCAGACCAAAGTGAGCGCGATGATGGCCGTACTGTTGCAAATTTATGTTACGACTATGATTTACGCATGTCGTTGTATTTGGTTCTTGTCTGGTGGAGTCCAGTGTCTGATGTCATATATGGTCTAGGTGTACGCGCGAGTATGGTGTGATGTGTGACGTTTATGGTATGTGGTGCATGCAAGAGTACGCGTTGTCAGAGTGTGAGGATGTGCTTCCGTCTGTGCGAGAGTAACTGTCAAGTGAATGCTGTACATGCGCAGTGCTAGTTTGGTCTGGGAATGAGAGTCGTGTGTGATTCGTCCGTGGTCTGGTTGTCTTGGTCTTGGTCATGTGTTCTGTACGTATTAGTCCCTGATTGGTCGTCCCGATTTGTCGTCGCAATATTACTGCTTGTTCTTGTTGGTTTCTTTGAGTCTTTTCCCGGGAGTCTTTCCCGTCGTCGTTTTCTGTCTAGTCTTTTTGTCTTTCTCCTCCTGTGCCCTCGCCGTTTATTATTGAGAAGTGAATATTAGTATGGAAGCTAACTGAATGGTGCGTTGTTGAGTGACCGGGGCCAGGGGGAGAAGCCTACTACAGTACAGTTTTCTTGTGGATTTTTTAGTTGTTTCATCTCGTATCTATGTCATTTTCGTGATGGTGAAGTGGAGAGGGTGATTTTCTTCCTCTAGGCTTCGTTCGGTCGACTTTGCTTCGTCCTCGTTGAAAAGTAATCCTGAAAAAAAAGGTCGATTCGCAAAATTATGTTGATTTTCAATGTACGTGATGACATGCGATTGCTGGCTATGACCAGTTGGTATCTCGGTCCTGGGAGCCCGCTGGCGTCTGTTTGGGCACGTGCTGCGGCTGGACCAAAGTGCACCGGCGAATCTGTCAATGTGCTCCTACTTCAAGCCATCCACTGAGCCTACCTGGAGGGGCAGGCCGCGCACAACTCTGCCGGACGTGCTCAGACACGATCTCGAGCTGGTTGGGAGGACCCTAAAGACCTCGGCAGATCTTGAGGAGCATTGCCCAGAACCGCAGGGCATGGAGCTACCTCAGTGGCCGTATCCTGGAGAGATTTGTTACTGCTCACGGATGAACCCTGGCAATGAACAACAAATTCAAATTCAACTCGGTTGAGCTGTTCGTTTGCTCGTTTTAATTGTATTCTATTTTCATCACGCGTTTTATATCGCATAATTAAGTTTTTATATCGCTATCAATATCCTGTTTGGCTGTTGTCGCTTCGGCTTATGCGAAAGCTATACATGCTGTGTATATCTACATTGCATTGATGCCAACACGGAGAATCTTCTAATAAATCCTCTCGCTTACGCCTGCAAGTAGACATTCTGGAAAAACTAAGAAATGCAAAGCTCAATGACTTGTCAGTTTGAGCACTCTGGCAAGGTACGCTCGGGCCTGGTTTTAATCTGGCTTTGCAAAATTTATTTTTCATTGCTATCAGGTTCGGCTTCATTTTTTCTGTGCTGCGCTGATGAGTCCACAAAGGACAAAACAGTTCTGTCCGCAGATTGAGAAATGGTAAGATACTCAATCTGCGCAAAATGGTAAGATATTATTATTCTGAAGATGTTGAACGGTCTCTGCTGGGATGACAACTACACCATAGCTCAGTGGTTAGAACATCACTGGCCTCAAGCGAGGGTCCCTGGTTCGAGTCCTGGAGGTGACAGTCAATTTTTTCTTCAGACTTTTCCCGTTTGCGTCTTTCCCTCAAACCATGTGAATATAATTATACAGCTGAGCGTAGATTTGCTAGGATTATGCTTAGCTCCCACCTCTGCTCCAAGTCCGGTCTTGTCTGCATCTGGTAACCACTTTGCAACAATGTGCACGCAGTGTAACTTCTCAGCCACGGCATTGCACTGGACATGCAGGAATACACCAAAAAAACATGATACGGAGTGCAGTGCTCAGTGCTCCGCGGCATTGCATTGGCAAACAAAGTCAAATACATTGTATACACGTACAGTGCAGTGAATGAACATAGTACAACAAATGCCATAGTGAGGCTTTTCGTTACCAGCTGCTCCTCCTCTGATTTCAAGTGGATGTGACAGTGTGTTGCCATTAAATAGCCAGGACATATTGTCCATAGCAATGGATTTGAACACACCAGCACTTGCCTCCCTCTTTTCAACGAGTAACTGTGACATCAGACTGAATGACCAACATCTAGCAACAGCCAATGTCACAGTGGCTTACCAGTGTGTATTTTCCACTGCACGGCGGCCCAGTCACAATCACTTTCGGAACTGCATCACAAGAGACAAGCAGACCGTGAGCAAGAGAAAGTTATTCATCTACAAAAAAATGTTCACTGCAAACTATCCGACACCCTTGGCATTGGAGTTGTAAATGAAATATTTGGACTCCTGTGAATCATGCGTGTTCTATCACTATGGCAATCTCATACCTGCCAATTGCTGAGCGTCCTTTTTCTGGATTGCCAGGGCAAAATCCCGGGATTTGCCTTGGCTTTTCGGGATATTTCACTTTTCCAAAATTCCTTTTTCAACTTGGCACCAACCGTATGATTTCGTTGATCATAGATTATGGCGATGATCACATTTACGCATGTTCGCTGAAGACCCAAAACAGAGGTTTTTCAGGGACTGTTCATGGAAGGAGTACTAGTAGATCCATGGGTACTACAGGCTATGACAGTAAGGAATCAATAAAGACAACTAGACAAGTCACTTGAAGTGCTCCAAGTACAATATCAAGACTTTTTTTAATTTTTTTAACTATTGAACACTCACTGCATGATGAACTAAAATGAGGAGGAGAACTCGACACAATGGTACATATCCAGCAGGACAGAGTGGGTGGGACCTGTGAAGCTCAGCTGACCAAGGGTCTCGGCATCACAGCTGCACATGTGCACCAAAGGAAACAAAATGGGGAGTGGAAGGGCGGGGAGCAGGAGAGCAAGAACTCTAAGGGTAGGAAAGAGAGCAGGGAGGGGAGGAAAACAGGAAACGTGTTAGTTTGCGAGTTATTCCAAGATATGAGTGCAAACAAGTACGCCGCAAACAAGTACAAAGATAGCAGTATCAAGATCATGATGCTGAGGCGAAAGTAGAGGCTGATTGCCGTGCAGTTTTGACGAAAGATTAGGGTGAGAATGGAGGAGAGTTAGAGAGAGATAAGGACATATGGATTGGGAGTTTGATGAGAAGAGAGTGCTCCGAGAACATGACCATGGTCATACTGGCAGTGGCCTAGGGGGGGGGGGGGGATGTCCGTGGCCAATGACCAACCCGACCGTTTCAAGTAGCGGTAGGTCAGAACCTTGAACTGCTGCATACCTTTGGCAGACAGTGCATCGCGGAGGAGAGTGGCTGGCAGTTCATTCCAGGCTTAAATGAGGCACTCCGGGAAAGAGCGCAGCGCAACATTGCATGATCTGGCAGGTAGGGCTGTCTGGAGTTGAAGCTCGTGCGCAAGGTTGGCTGCCGAGCGGCGACGTGTGGCAGGCGCGATGGCGGGTGCGATGGCTCTGGCTGGGCGTGTCGCTGCAAGAGCTGGTGGGCTTGTGATGTAGTGGAGCTTGTACAGAGTTTTGAGGCCGGCCACACAGCGCGGCAGGGACAGAGTGTCCATTGCAGCCCCTGTCCCAATCAGGGCGAGGGCACGATGCTGGACTCGGTCCAGCTGTGAGAGATGGGTAGCCGCAGGTCCCATCCATACAAGTGGGCAGTACTCCATTAGAGGCCGAATGAACCCCCGGTATGCTGTGGCCCGGCCCGGTGGGTCCAGGACATGGCACGCCTTCCGGAAGAAACCAATTCGCTGTGTGGCACACACTGCAGTTCCTCGAAGATGCTCTGAGTATGATAGACGGGCATCAAACGTCACTCCAAGGAGCTTCAGCCGCGAGCATTCCGGGACCGCTGTGCTGTTGAACTGGATGGGTGGTGTCTCCCAGGGTCTGCGGTGGCGGGACACAGTCATGGTATGTGATTCCGTTGGCTCGAAAGTGACGCGCCGCTGAGCACCCGATTCAGCAAGTGCATCCACACCAGCTGAATCGGGTGCTCAGTGGCGCGTCACTTTCGAGCCTACGAAATCACAGGCCATGACTGGGTCCTGCCACGGCAGACCCTGGGAGACACCACCCATCCAGTTCAACGGCACAGCGGTCCTGGAATGCTCGCGGCTGAAGCTCCTTGGAGTGACGTTTGATGCCCATCTATCATACTCAGAGCATCTTCGAGGAACTGCAGTGCGTGCCACACAGCGAATTGGTTTCTTCCGGAAGGCGTGCCATGTCCTGGACCCACCGGGCCGGGCCACAGCATACCGGGAGTTCATTCGGCCTCTAATGGAGTACTGCCCACTTGTATGGATGGGACCTGCGGCTACCCATCTCTCACAGCTGGACCGAGTCCAGCACTTGTTTTGTGTACAGTGTTTTTCGGGATAATCGACAGGAATTTCGGGTTCGCGGGAGTACATCCTAAAATGTGGGATGATCCCGAAAAAATCGGAATACTTCGAAGTACTTGGCAGGTATGCGATCTGAAGTGGGGCACCTCCTCCTTAGGGTCTATGATAAGTCTGTAGCATTCAAGTCCTTGTCATCCTCAGGAGGGTCAATGAAGGTTCAAAGGCAGTTCACGGAACCACATTCTCAGGCTGTGTCATGGCCGCAGCGCATAATGCAAATATGGAAAGGCCTCATAGCTACATGAGCCAAAGCTCTAAGATTCGTTTTTTGCTGAACACGGCTCATATGTATACGGCACATTGCCTTACATCTCACTGGAGTTCCAGTGTGCAAAGGGGCAATGCGCCTTCCTTCGTACTCTTGCTTGAAGATCATAGCAATTGATTTCTAGTTCTTTACAGCGAGCCACGAGAGTGCTTTTCATGGTTCTACGTGGTACAAGGACTCCGTAGAAAAACAACTTTGTTTCTCAATTGACTTGCAGCAAGTAGGGTACGTTACTACAGTACTGGCCAAAGAAATCCAACCTCATGGATAAAATAGCGCTGGGCCCTACGCATCCCTGGTACTACATACACTGGTGTGTGTTCTCGAACGCGGCGCTCAGTACTTTATTCATGAGGTTGGATGTCTCAGGCCAGGACATGTACTGTAGTAAGCTGCTTACGGTTTGCTATGTCGGCCGGTAGCTCCAACTTTTCAATAAGAAACTGCAGAGGGTCTTCCGGCATGTTTACAAGCACATCCTTCATCAAAGACTGCATAGAAACACACACACACACACACACACACACACACACACACACACACACACACACACACAGAAAGCAGATCATCCGATCAGTGCCAAACGGCATCCAATTTCATCCACGGTATGGTTGAGTGTGGCTTCGTGTGAGTAAATTCATGTACGCGTGTATGTGCATACGTGTTCATACGTAAATATAATATGCATGTGTAATATCCCGGTGAAAGGGGCGATCCGGGTACCCGTCTGTTTAGCTGCTGATCCGTTAGCAAACGAGTACCCGTTAGTCGTGTACGACGTTACGGTACGGTATTAATAGCTGACTTGCACAGTCGTACAGTTCGATGTACAGTTTGAAAACTTTGGATGTGTTGTTGCTGGTTCGATCCTGCTACATGTGACAATTTGGACTGTTTTGCATGTAGCGCAGTAAGTGTGTATGCTGTGCTTGTCGCGATATAGTGCACTTGCTGTGAATTGCATGACATCACCCTTGGCACGAAATGTGGAAGGCTATTGTAAAGTAATTGTTACTACAGGTGGAATCCTGATAATTCGAACCTCAAAATGCCAGGAAAAAACTTCTAATTATCCAAACATGAACCCACAACACATTATGTATGTCAACATGCTCTCATGGTCACGCAGAGTTGCGCTGTGGACCTTAGACACATATTTCACGGATACTGAACTGACCGGCACAGCCTGCTCATGCAAACTGAACTGGCCAGTACAGTGTACAGTGAACTTCGAATTACACTTTGCTAACTTCGAATTATCAGCACAAATCCCACACATTTTCTATGTTGGTGGAATCCGCGGGACTTCTAATTAACCGGACATGTCCAGTTCGAGGTTCGAATTATCAGAAAAGTTTTATGGGGGAATTGTATAGATAGAAATCGGTCCTGGAAAAACTTCTAATTAAGCAGTATGTTCGAATTAAGCCATATTCGAATTATCAGGATTCCACCTGTATTGGCTGCTACAGGGTACCCGATAACCCGTCCGTTAAGCCAGGTACCCGTTTGTAAGGGTAACTGTTTCACCCCTATAATAAATACATATACACTGCGCTGCTGCATCTACTGTGTTCTGTTTGTGTACCTCACATGTCCTATACACGTATTTGTGTTCATGTTGCACCCTTGCACCATTTGTAGCACCCATTGACTCCTGCATGCATTACTCGTCCTCATGCGTGCCCTTCCATTCTAGTAGTTTCTTCGTTTCTTTGTCTTTTGGCTTTTGAGACTTGCCTTCCACCCTTGCGGCGGAGGTTTGGCTTTTTGGCTCTCTCTCGCCTTTGTTCTTTTCTTGCATGGTTTATTGAAGTAAGTTATCTTTTTGTGGTTAATTTACTAGTAGAGAGATAATCATTACCTCCAAGTGTGTACCGGAGAGAGTTCATTTGTTTGCCGCACGGCCACATACCACACAAGCATGCGTGTTCGTGCGGGTGCATGGTATGTGTAGAGGAGGGCAACGCTTACCTGTATCTGGGTATCAATGTTGTATACAAGGTTCATCTCTCCCCCCCCCCCACCCCCCTCCAGGTTCGCTTCCAGCGAGATTCTGATCAGCCCTTGGAATCATCGCCATCCATGCTCATCTCCAAATTCCTTCCAATATACAACTGAATACAAGTTACAACGGAATAGCGATGTGGCAGTGCATACATTGGTTGCCGCCATACCTGAAATAATGGGTAGATCTCGTGCTTCTCGACGTATGTGGAGAAGTCTTGAGACATCTCAATCTTTTGCGTAGCGTCCATGATGGGTGTGGATGACGAACGTCAATACACATACGCACACAGCTAACGTTAGATGGTCGAGAGCGTAGAGGGACAGTTTGAGGAAGGGCAGGCCAGGGTGACCACCGTTCAGCACGGTACAAAGAAAGTTCACTTCATTCAATTATTGGGGAACACGTAAACAAATTTCCTTTCGCTATCGAGCTAGCTGCTTCCAACCCATGATGACATCGCGATCGCGACTAGACTGTCGTTTGGATTTAGCGTCGTTTCTAGGGCAACCAAGAAGATGCACCATGCACACCATGCACCATGTACCAGTGCATTACCAGTACTGGCAGTAGTCTACTGCCGTACTGGCAGTAGAGACAGAGTCAGTGCATGCAGTCACCATGGTCACTCCCTCACGTCCAGGACTGGTAATCATGGTAATAGAAACCGGGTTTCATGTACATAACATGATTGTATTGCAGAGTAGCAGACCTATTCAGACTCCGGTTTCATGAATCATGTGGATCTACAGACAGTTTGCTTACTTTTAGTCTTGCTTGCACAGGTCCTCCCACAAGGACCCCAGCCAGAGCCAGAGCCCTACTATTAGTACTAAACTAGTACATAACTATATACACAGAAGCCTTGCTTGGTAGTTTAACATGTTTGTTGTAGTCAGGAGTCCTCGCCTTGTAACATGCTCAGTCAAAATCGAAAAACATGTTAAAAACTAGTACATGTACTACAAGTACAAAGGCAAAGGATGTAGTCTTTCCAAGCAGGTGGGAGTCCTCCACCTAGTTTACCTGTATATCGGCCTATAAATCAAAATCAATAATTCCTCAATACAGTACTACACTATACTATGTCTACAGTCCACGCAGTGTTCACTTACGTATGTGCTATGTCTACGCAGTGTTCATTTACGTACGTCACAGTGCTATGAATAATACAAGCCGTTGTCCATCGAAACACGAAACATGGCAGTGAAATACAGACACAAAAAAATCATGCCTTCTCTTGCGTTTCACGGCAAGATCCACTAGAATGCACCCAGCTGTAAGTGAATGTGCACTCCCACATACATAATTATACAGTGCTGCCCGGTGAAATCCAGTCGTGTCACTCAAGTTTGCGCCGTGCATCCTTCCGCAGCCCCGTGCTCGCAGGTCTATGGCTGCACAACGCCCGGCGCGTACTTGAGTGACACGACTGGATTTCATTGAGCAGCACTGCACATGTGCATTCACATACCCATGTACATGAATGTCCAGTAGCAGAGCACAAAGCTCCCCACCACTTCACCATGTCCACTAGTACACAGCAAACACAAAGCCCCAAACACTGATCTGCTCTAACAGAGAGTTAACATCCAGTAGGCCATGACTCATGAGCAGCCGCCTACGGTCACTATCATAAATCAGAGAATGCATCCGCATCGGAAGGGCGTTGGTTAGAGTTAGAAAATAATAATACATGCATCATAATTAAAATGGACATTTGGACATTCCTGACTATGTACATGCATGTGCCAGCCACATGCCTCTATGACGAGGACACAAACATAATTACAGTGTGCAGCACATCCGAAGAGCGGGTTCCTATTTATACATGGCTACTATTAGAATAGAAGGGGTGAATGTACAGCGGGGGGGGGGGGGGGGGGGAAAGAGATCCATAACAAAAATAATAGTGGGGTTCTGCTAGCCCTAATGAAACTAGCAGTATTCGGCATTTTATTGGCTAGGTTTCACAAAGCCATCCTCATCGAGATTGTCCAAAAGTTTGCAAAAGATTGGCGATTCCACGGTAAGAATATAGTTGCAGGTTGATGGCTCCTGCAAGGACATGGCCACTTGGCTCGGATGAAATTCGCCACTCTTGCAGCGCATCCTGACCGTTACTGAGCGTGGCTTGCTGGTCACATCGCACACATCGCCGTTCGAATAGTAGTAGTGACCTTTCTTCTTGCGGCGCGCTGCCTGCGACATCCACTGCACATGCACCTTCTTGTCCCAGCGGCCAAGCAAGATCTCCACGCGCTTTTTAGAGTTGGGCTCGCGGTGGTACTGCAGTACCTGCTTGCCAAAGCAAAACTCGTACATCCACCAGCCTGAGCCACCGTCCAAGCAGAAGTCACCGTTCAAGAACTGGTTGATCATGCTCTTGTCTGGTGATAAGGGTGCCTCCGGGTGCGCTGGTGTTCGGGGTCTGCCACTGGCAGCAGCCGATGCCGACATCTCATCGTTGGCAGGTGCCTCACCCAGGAAGGTCATCGTTTCACTAGGCTCATCTTGCATGCTTCCGGCCTGTGATTGGCGCTGTTGCTGCTGCTGCTGACGTTGTTGTTGTTGCTTCTGCTGTTCTGTGCCCGCACGGAGAAAGATGAGCTTATCCGTGCCACCGAGCTCCAAGTGCACAAACTCCGTGCTGGCACTGGGCTTACCCTCAATCAGGCTGCTGGGTTTTACTGGCGAGCCGCCCACTGGAGAGCACTGAATGCCGTGCACCTCATCCTTGGGCAGACGGTAGTCTGGATTCGTGCACAGCTGAGGTGCAGCAACGATCGCTTCGTATTCACATGTCTGCGTCTCTTTCACGCTAATCAGCCTTGTCTGCACAATGTCTTCAAGGCAGACGAAGATGATTTCCGCGTGACGCGGCGTGCCACTCAAGTCACACGGTGTTCCGTCGTCAGCCAGTACACTGTAATATGGATAATTCTGCTCACCGATCCTTCGCTTCGGGATGCGCTGTGGCTTCTCAGTGGCTGGCACAGGTACTGAAGACACCGATGCTTTGCTGTGTGCAACATCCTTACCCAGGATGTACTCAGCAGTGACCTTGCGCCGTCCATCGACAACCTCCGCATGGAATTGCCGTACCTTACCACCGAAGCAGTATTCGTACGTCCAGTAAGAATGGGCGTCCTGTAAGCACTTTTGCTGCCGAATGAGCGGCTCCAGTAGCACTTCTGCACTCAGAGACTGACCTTCGTCTCTTTCACTATTTTCTTTACTGCTATCATCACCAGAGGGTAGTCTGCATGCGTAACGCTCATTGTCAGGCGTTCTGATGTAAGTGACATCTTTCTCGAATTTACTCAACTCCGACGAGTCCAGCACAGGGCTCCAACTAATATCATAACGAATACTGTCGTCGAACGGACTCAATGTTCCCGTGCAGCAGCTAGCAATAACTAAAACTACAAGGGCAGAGCTGAGCGTGACCAGGTCCATGTCGCCACAACGATGTAAAATAATTCTCACAAACAAAATTTTAATAATGATGACAACCTCACATGGCGTTTCTGACGCAGGCCAACCGGCCAGCAGGGTGGAGATAAATTACGCCCGTATAGAGATACAAGCCTGAGGGAATCAAGCAAGAAGAAGAGCCCCAGAACCTTCTCCGCCCTGTCAATGACAATTTTTCAGAGAGGGTTTGTGGACTTCTAATAATTCTGGACACTTGAAGGCCGATCTGAATGAAGTCTACGTGTCCTTGTTTTGAAAGTGATTTCAAAAAATGCCCGAAGTGACGTCACGCTGATACGTCAGCGTTTCTTTTTTGCCTTGGCCTTGGGCATATTTGCGGCTGCAAGCTTGCACTGATCCGGATCTGTGCATGAATATGCCAAATGAAGCGAATTCCTAGATTTCCTAAGATCTTTGGAGCTAGAAACTTCAAAGTATTAGTTGGCTGGACCTGCAAGCTTTTGCACCTGGTCCGTCCCCTGCTGAGGACTGAGATCAGACCAGTCAGGTGGCAATGCGGTGATTTGTTGGCTGACAGCATTTGGAGGAAGCTTCAGAAATGACCTAGAGCCAACGGTTGAGGAAGGTCACCTCTTGATTCATGATTTCCTCAAGATCACCAAGGTAACAGAGTCTTTTTCAGTGGAGAAGAATAATCATTAGCGAAGGACTAAAGGGACCCTCACTTAATTTTTTGCCGACTACCCGCCAAAAAACACATTTCGACACGCGTGTGTGCTGGACGTCTGCGAGCGCGTGCACGACAAGACAGACGTGTGAGCTGGCTGAGCGCTGACAAGTGAGAGCCAGGGAGTCGTCAAGTACCGGCATTTGACGACTCCCGGCCTGGTGAGAGCATGCATGCATGCATGTCCAGCTGGCGGGAAAGGGAACCTAAAATTGTAGATCGATGGGTTGAATGTGAAATTGTGGATCTGCACGAGGTTTGTTTTGATGTTCTGATACTTGTTGTAATGGCTAGTGATCTTGCAAACGTTACTGTGACTTTTCCAAGTCCTACTGATATACCTTGTCAAATCAGATGCCCTGTAGTAGTCTTGGTGGAAGCAGACTGGAATGCGTTGAATTCGTAGCTTCTGAAATTGAAATTTATTTTTTCTTGAGTGACACTGACAAGCGATGGCATTGGCGACAGGAGAACTTTGCTTCCTTCCAGGAGAGCTGCATCGCAGTCGGATCCTGTCCATGCACATGCGATCATGCTGTGTTGTAGACAGTGGAGAGCTGATTTTCACCCGAGAAAATAGTTTTGAACATTCATGAAGAGGATATTGTTGCTGTAGCTAGCTGACAGACATAACCTGTGGCAGTGGTGTATGGAATCAGCGTGCAAGGTCTGTAGCAACTTGATCATGGCAGAGAACGAGCTGAAGCGAGATGTGAAGGGTGCCATGCAGCTTACACTTGTGCATGTTCTACGTTACTCTACGGCGAGGAACTACACACGCACTCACTACTGCTCTCGCAAGGTGATTGGCTTCTCTCCAGTGATTCAGGCCGCCTCAAAGCATGGATCCACTGCACTTTGTCGCGGAACACATCAACATGCCTGTTGACGTACACTGGAAAAGATACGACTCCACGATGAGGACCTGTGTAGCAACTTGATCATGACAGAGAAGGAGCTGAAGCAACTTCCATTGGCGCATGTTTTTTAGTTTTAACGGTACTCCACGATGAGGAACAGCACACGAGGTATGGAGCATGCCATTCAGCTTGCACTGGTGATTGTTTTACTCAACGATGATGAACTGCACGTGGCATTTGATAGGGCTTGTGCAGGGTGAGTGTCTTCTCTCCAGTGATGCAGGCCACCTTGAAGCGTGAATCCACTGCATCTCTCTCTCTCTCCAAATTCTTTGGTAATGCAGCCTTTCACCAACATTGTCCGGTTGCACGCCTACTGTCACTCAAACAGGACCAATGGATGCAACATGTGCCTAGCAGATACACTGTTGATCATGAACAACTCCAATAACACCCCCCCCCCCCCCTTACCATTGTCTTCAATACACATCCAACTAGAACTTGAAGTATATTAGTCAAAGCTGCTGGTATAGTCTCTACTTCTTGATGCTACCCACTCTCTTTTTCTGTCTGTCTTTCTCTTTCTGTGTATGTATGTGTGTGGGTGTGTGCGTCTCTCTCTCTCTCTCTCTCTCTCTCTTTCTCTCTCTCTCTCTCTCTCTCTCTCTCTCACGCACACACACACACACACACACACACACACATACACACACACACACACACTCCCTCACTCACTCACAAAGCATGAATCCACTGCACTTTGTCGTTGAACATCTCAACACGCATGTTGACGTACACTCTCTCTCTCTCTCTCTCTCTCTCTCTCTCTCTCTTTCTCTCTCTCTCTCTCTCTCTCTCTCTCTCTCTCTCTCTCTCTCTGTTTCTCTCTCTCTCTCTGTCTCTCTCTCTCTCTCTCACACACACACACACACACTCACAAAGCATGGATCCACTGCACTTTGTCGTTGAACATCTCAACACGCATGTTGACGTACACTCACTCTCTCTCTTTCTCTCTCTCTCTCTCTCTCTCTCTCTCTCTCGTTCTCTCTCTCTCTCTCTCTCTCTCTCTCACACACACACTCAGAAAGCATGGATCCACTGCACTTTGTCGTTGAACATCTCAACACGCATGTTGAGGTACACTCCCTCTCTCTCCTCTCTCTCTCTCTCTCTTCTCTCTCTGTGTGCGTGTGTGTGTCTCTCTCTCTGTCTGTCTGTCTCTCTGTCTCTCTCTCTCTCTCTCTCACACTCACTCACTCACTCAAAAAGCATGGATCCACTGCACTTTGTCGTTGAACATCTCAACACGCATGTTGACATACACTGTATCTCTCTGCGTCTTTTGATTTCTGTGTCGCTCTTTCTCTTTTTCTCTCAACCTGTGTATCTACAATGTACTTTGCTGTAATAAATTCTTTTGAAGTTCTGTCCTTATTTGACTGGATTATTGATCGCGTATTCATCAAGCTCGGCACGAAGTATTGGCTCGCTTTCTCACATACTTACTCTCTTTTTCTGTCTGTCTCTCCATCTCTCTTTCTGTGTGTGTGTGTCTCTCTCTCACTCTCTGTTGACGTACACTGTATCTCTCTGTGTCTCTCAGTTTCTCTCTCTCTCTCTTTAACACACAGGCACAAGCTTTCTATCTGTCAGTTTCTCTTCTTTTGTTGCTTTCTCATGAACACTAGCACACACACACTCTCTCAACATTGATCACTTATTCCCATCATGCTTTTTTTGGGTTTCGTTGTGATAGAATATTGTACTACTACTTGTAGTACTACTGATGTACAACACTATTCTCATGCAACTGGAGGGTATATATTCGGGTGCTATTTGTTGTTGTGGCTAAGAGTGCATGTGTGCGGCCAGCTAGTTCCAGCATGCAAGGTGTTACATTTGCTTCACTGTGGTCTTACAAGCACAGAGAATCATTATGTTCTAACTTTCCTTGATACAACTATGAACCGAAGCACAACTGCTGCAAACATTAACTGCCCATTTAGGCAAGATAGCAACAACTAAAAGTAGAAGAAGTAAGTAAGACTAGCGTCCTTCCAGCTCCAGGACAGTATGAACAGGCAACAACATAAATTTTAGAAGCGGTGAGGCCTCCTGCAGTTTCATACAGAATTACAGATGGAGCGGACTCGCTCCCTTCTATTTACACTGCAACGTTCGAACACATTTTCGTAGTTAAAACAACGTTTCGGCATATAGCCCTCATCATCATCATCAACATAAATTTTAACATCATTGCATCGTACATGCATGTAGCCATGCAGAAATAATTGTACATTTAGTTGTGAATGCAAATCCAAGGCGGAAAGCAGTCAGGCATAATAGATGCCAGCAATAGAAACCAGATCTGTGACGCATGTCACATGCATTCATGATGATCAATGCATGATCGTGGTTCACGACCATTGAACACAGTAGTACATGTAAATTACACAGAAATAGGAGATTAAATCTAACATATCTCCCTCGTGAAAGAAAAGTGATAAATATCACATGAGTGAGTAAAAGACGAAGACAACAAGAAGAAAAACATGACAAAAACAATGGCAATTGAATATGAAAACTTGAATATGATAACTCGGATGGAAGAAAAGGACCAAGGACCTACAAGACGTGCTAGAGCTGATAGCCAGTTTGTTGTAGAACGTCAGTACTGTCGGTCAGTTTGGTGCAATGTTATAATTATTGTTATTGCATGAGCTGATTGTCAAGTAACTGGTGGTGTTAGTGGACAGTATAGCATAACTTGTAGTTCGTTGGTCTCATTTTCTTTACTATGAATATGAAAACAATCACAGTTCGCTCAGTACTTGCACCTTTAACTTCCAGTGGCTCAAGATGATGAACTGCATGCTTGTATACCTTCCCAGCTACTTAAACTTCTACTATCCGAACAGCACCATCCTTACCTGGATAGGTCATAAGCACACGTCCAAGTGGCTAATGTGCAGTTGCGGTGTGCTTATCCATCACAAGCACGATATCTCCTTAGGGTGATGCTGTTGAAGCAACCACATCACTTGGATGCTTAGCTTCAGAACAATCTCTTTCAGCTAACGTTTCCATACCTGATCTACAATACGTTGCACAAACTCCCAGCGCTTTCTTGGGTGCGCTTGAGTCATTGTAGACGTGTTGGCTTCAGCAGCAACAGTTGCACTAGCATGGCCAATGAGAAAGTGTTGTGGCAATAGCAGCTGAAGGTCTTCATGCAGCACTAGTTTCATTGCCTTGGCCATAGTGTGGTGCACTTGGTGGCTTGAAGTACCAGGTAATGTCGCGGTATGACTTTTCTGCTGCTAGTCTGAAGTTGTCGAGAAACTTGACAGCTGCTTTTACCTCTTGATCAGCCACACGGAAATTGGTACCGTTGTCCGATTGCATCTCTTGTGGCACACCACGTCGCATGGTGAATCGGGGTCTAAGAGCCAGGAGAAAACCGTCGTTGTCCAGAGATAACCTCGAAATGACAAGCCCTAGTCAGCAGGCATGTAAACATACATATCTCTTTGAGTTGTGACCGATCTCGACCCTGGCGTGCATAGAAGGGGATGACATAGCCGACACTAATTATGGCAAATGACTGATGTGGTCCAGTTGTCTTGAAGTCGGGAAGTGGTGGCATTGCTGGTGTTGCTGTTTTGATATGGCCCTTGCG